CGATTTTATTTGATAAAACGATATTCTTCTCGATCTTCTTCCTACTCGTATTAACAAGTAGTATAACTTGTTTAAAAAATCCTTAAGTCAGAATGACAGCAAAATTTCGTCTTTGTCAAGTTGTTAAGCTTTTCGTGTTCCAAGAATGTTGCAGATTTCATGCGCGCTTACCATGGGAACCTGAGGCTGGATTTACTCGTTCGTTGTATATTTACGGCGCGAAGCCGTACACCAGCTAGCTTACGGTTTGGGTCTTCGGTCTCAAGATGGTCTCAATGGGTTGGTACGCATCACGACTCACGGCTAAAAATTTGGCGATTTCACGACTCACGACTAATTTTTTCGAATCACGGTTAACTAGATTACTTTTAGAAATTTTTGAATTACGTTTTTCATTGCTTTTTCTTTTTTCGTATGAATAGACTGCGTGACTTATTCGTACGGACATGGATTTTTCTATTTCAAATAAGCCGAAATGCGACTATCCACGAGAAATGATTAATCAAAAATTATTAATCATAAATTCATAATACACAAAAAAAAATCCAAAAAGTGTTAAACATAGCAGGTATTGAGAACATAGTATTGACATTCAATAAGATGCAGTCCGTGTCTGACATTTGAGTTTACGAAATTTCATTAAGTGTCGCTTTTCGCGATGATGTATTCTATGCCGGGCTAAATGTGCATGGTAAAATCAGAAAGTTTGTAGCGTATTCATATTATTATTTGACTCTAAACAAAATTATAGTATTTTAAAATCGATATCTTATATAATTACTTTAAAATGTCAGATATATACCATGTCCGTACGAATAGCAAACGTAACTCGGACCTGTTGATTCTCGGTTGCGCAATCGCCGCGCTGTGAAAACTTATTATACGTTTAATGAAAACAAACCAATGAAAGCGCGCTTTAAAATATCACATTATCGAAAATATATAGAAATAATTACTAAATGATTCTGCAGATTTTGACTAGTACAACAAAAAGCATAAAAAAAAGAAGAAATATGAAAAAAGAAAAAAAACTTGAGTATTGGGATTCGAACCCATGACCATAAAATCGAAAAAAGGTTGGGA